TAGATGGCCCTATTAAGTGGGTAGGGTCAGCGCTGGTTACCGTGGATACTCTTGTTTTATCTGTGTACGGTGGAATTCCCTGAGACAGTCCCCTTCTCCTGGCCCCCCCTCCCTCCCATCAGTTCTGCTGCAGTTTACCGTTGCCCCCTTAATGTGTGCAGTCCGCTGGTGAAACACCCCCGCACTAATGAAATCTAAACACCCTCATGATTTAAATCATCCTGTTTTTTTTCCTGCTTACTCTCAGTCTGTTGTGGTTAATTAATCGCCCATTGAGAAAGACGTGTGGGTGCAGCGGAGACAAAAAGAGCTTATCCTGTTAAGCTGTGTGTGGTCAAATGGAGAGCAGGGGCCACATACATTAAACTTAGTTTGCCTGGAAGCAGAAATATGCACATGCAGCCTTGAAGGCAGAATTTCTCTTCATATGTTCTCTTAGATTAAATCCACAGTGGTCTCTCACACATTGGTAAATTGTGTGCGCATATTCTCAATGCCCACTTCCACAAGTGGATGTTAAAATGCCACTTTTAAATCCTATTTGGGAATTAACTGGCCTCGTTCTTTTTGTTTGAAGCAGCATCAAAGATGTCTTTGTGTTTGTTGCCCATAACCCATAACCAGATAGCACGAGGAGGTAAAATTTATACTTTGACCTATTTTTCTGCTGTGCTTATTTCTGCATTACAGAATTACACATGAGCCTTGTATGTTGACCTATTAACGCATGCTTAAATAAACTTGTGGGGTTGGGAGAGCTCCACAGTTTGTCTCAAGGACATTACAGCAAGACAAACACGTACTATAACAAGGGCTTTAACCCAGATTTTCTTATGAAGGATGGGTTCCTTTGCTGGCTACCTGATCCAAAAGATTCAGTTAATTGTTTTGTTCTTGACTGCATTCATGTCGACCCCTTGTAACGAGAGCACCAGACACCGCAATGTTTTTCTCAGCTCTTAAAGAGAACTGAGCACAAGCATAATTGAGTTTGGTTTCACATGGGAATCTGTTTAGAGAACCAGCTAACTGAAAACTGAAAAAGGGAAGGCTGCTGGTCACCATTATTGAGCCTCAGGCAAGTTCATCTAGAGAAGACTGACAGCTGGAGAAACCTCTGGACAGAAAGAGCAGGGAGGCCGAGCCATGTGGGCAGAGAAGTAGCTTGATCCTCTTGACCATGTGCCTTGTGTGGTTCCACGAGTCTGCAGCATACCGCACATTACTGGCATTTGGAGCGGAACGCAACACATCAGACGATGTTGCGCTCTGGCTTTACTACATCAGGACACCCTGGCCAGAATACAGACCCCAGCTTAGGAAACACACACACTGACAAGAGCTAAGATTACTGTTGTGACTGAAAGGCAAATTGAGCTAGTCTTGCTCAGATGCATTAATAGGTCTGAAGAAAAAACATTTGAGCTACAAGGTGGAATGTCCTGGACTTCATTTTATAACTCTGACAATGTAATTGCAATGCAGTGCAGCTGGGGATGTTTGTTGCATGTCATTCCCCTCGCACCTCTACCCTCATATCCTGTCAGTTTAAGTTTGTTGTGTGTTAGTATATCAGTTACTCAGGGTGTTATGTTGAATTCGTTAAGAAAACGTTATTTTTCTTGCATGCCTTCATGGTGAGCCAGTAATCCAAAAAATGGTGAATGGTCTTCATGAAGTGAAATCTTTGGGACCGCCTTTAACAACAGCAAAACCATCTCAATAAATGAATTAACAAACTCTCACACACTCACACTTAGTATAATCCCAGCCTCATTTATCCAGTCGTATGCTCAGCACTTCCCTGTGCATTTTTGCTAATATGTGCAATATGAAACACTTCACCTATGAGTCACATGACCTAAGCATGTGCATGTGTAGCTCTGGTTGAGCAGAGCTCGAACAAACATGCATGCTCTGGCATGCTACTTGGCCATGTATGAGACTGACTGTACTGACATGTTTTAAATCCTAATGTTTTAGTGACAATACACATGTTTGGGAAGTACTGAGCATACATCTGGATACATGAGACTTGGATTATACTGCACAGGTTGTGTGTGAGTTTGTAAAAGGTAGATTTGATTTGTTTTGCTGTTGTTACTGGTGAAAAATTCCTTTAAAATGCCCTACAAATATTAAGACATTAAATAATTTGAGCTACAAGGTGCATGAACAACATGTACAGTGAGAAGATTAAGCACAATGGGGAAAAATGTTTTTCAGGGATACAGATAGACTCAATACAGTCACAGGAGAGGAACCATTTTGTTGACACACATTTTTTAAAATACATTTTGCTTGTAGAATCCACCTGTTGGTGCTCCTTTTTGAAGCAACTGTAGCCTTTAGTCAGCTTTCATAAGATGTTTATGTTCACAGCTGTGACACCCTCAGTTGATGGGTCGGCTAGTTGTTGACAAGTCATTGCCCATCTGCTCATGTTCTCCTGTGTGGAAAATAAATTGTGACTTAACAGCTAAAAGGTTAATATTGTAAGAGTTAAGTAAAAGGAACATTTTACTGAGATTCCAGTAAGCAAGAAAAGTGCCATGAAAGTGAAAGTGTGTTTGCTCTGAGAAACTGTGGAACAGATTCTTAAAATACTTCTTCACTTTTTCACCTTGAGCTTGATAGATAGCAACGCCTATGTGTGTGTATTCAGCAACCAGCTAGAATCAATTATTAAGGGTGATTTTGTGTCCTAATGATTTGAAGGTGAAGTTTGTGTGTGAGATGTTAAAAAGAATGAGAGATTCAGAACTTTATGATTTTGTGAAAGAGTCCTTTTCTCTTGTGTACACACACAAAAAAATCAAAGAAGTTTTGATTTAGACTTTTATACAAGAATCTAAAGTAGACAGAATTTCTCTAAAACACCTACCCTGATGCTCTCACCTAAGGCCACAAGAGCACCTGGAGACAAGTTTTTCCTGTAGCTTACCCATGGTCAGACTAGCTTTGGCATGTAGCCACACCACCTTTACCTTATCACTACCAAAGTGTGTGTTGCATCCCATAAGGGAAGAACATACAAAAGAAACTGTTGCGTGTAAGCCCTCCAGCAGCTGCGCACCGATGCAGCCTTACAGTGTACCACACCTCGACTGTAGACCACAACAGACGTTCACCTCTCACCACAGCAGTGTGTGTTCTGTGCACTGGGGAGTAGGAAGCTTACAACAGCAGGGTGGGGTGCCTGCAGAAAGACGCTATACTGTATAATTATAAAAACCTCCTCTTTCCTAAATAGAACACAGGGCCTGTCTTTATGAGGCTGCCCCCCTGTTTGAGGGCCTGTCAGAAGAAACAGAGTAGGCCTCTGTGAGTGACTTCGTGTGTGTGTGAGTGTGTTTTCGGACAAGACTTCACTGTCTTCACCAACCAAGGGTTGCTGCTGCGAAGGAGGGGGAGGGATTTGTCTCTTGTGATAGAAACCATGAATGAGCGAAGACACTGTCAGGCTGGTGTCTTCTCCTGCACATTTTTCCATATCCAGGAAGTTGCCACACTTGTGTCTTCCTGCTCAGACCTGCAGTAAGAAGTATGGAAAAAAAGAAAAGGACGTTAGATCCTGTACTCTAAGTGCTTAACCATGCACCTTTTGCTAAGACAAGATAAACTTTATTAATCCCACACTGGGGAAATTCACGTTACAGCAGCATGAAGGCAAAGGAAAAAAGAGTTATTAATAAAAATGAAACAAGATAGAAGAAATACAAATAATAATAACAACACACTACATATACCTTTCACTTATATAGATACTTGATGAATGGTTACACTGTAATTGTAATAGACACATGGTGTGTAGCATAATACAGTGTAATATAATATCCATGATATGAAAAACTCGAGTACAAAGTTGCTGTCATGTTGCAAGTGGTGGTCGATGGAAATAGAGACAACAGTGTTTCATCATGTTGTACTATATACTAAGTCTGACCGCCGTGGGAATGAAGGACCTGCTGTAGCGCTCCCTCATTGTGGGTGTCACAGTCTGTCACTGAAGGAGCTGCTTAAGGCCCTGACAGTCTCATGCGGGGGGTGAGATGTGTGTTTTGTAATTACAGAATTATGTGTGTTGCATTTAGTGCTATCTGTTAACACCAAAGTAACTGTGGGACAGTCCCATCTCTTAACGCTGAACTTTAAACTTGGATTGGTATTGTTTTTATAGTGTTCTATAAAGAGGACACATGTTGAAAAACCACCTTAAGGTGTCTCAGTTCATTGGTTCTGGCATCTGAGGTTTAACCAACTGTTGTGTTTTACTACCTCTATTTCTGTCCATACACGCTCATCTGAGGTTCCTCCCTTCTTTTCCTGTTATAGTTTTCTCTTCTATTTTAGTGGCATTCGCATTTACTGAATTGAAGGTCTGAGGGTAAAGGGAGGATGTTGTTCACATTTCAGACTGTGAGTTTTTTTTCCTCCCTCAGGTGTATATCTGTTTTTATCTTTTGTCCAATGCTCTCGTTCAATATATTTTCCTGTTAAAAAACTTTTGTTGCAGTCAGTAAATGTGTGACTTCTTGAGTCAAATGCATTTCGGTGCTCTTGGGAGATTATTGTTTGCTTTGTTTCCTTCCTTTAAGGAACATCAAAGTGCAGCCTTTAGTGTTTTCACAATACTGGAATCTGCTACTTTGATATAGTAACTTGAAAAATATTGATATTTGACACCATTACCAATAAGAGAAAGTGAGAAAGCACAGCTGGCACAGGTGTATCAATACTGAAGAATTCGAGTTTTAAAAACCATCAACATGTAGTGATAAATTGGTATTAATGACAACACTAGAAGCTTCTGTAGCCGACAGAGATGGTTGCAGAATGCACTCTAAAACTCGGGCCTGCCTTATCTAAGTACCTTTGGTAAATGCATTATGTCCGTATCAGATGGCTTATTAGGGTGTGGAAAATTGTGAAACCGATATGCTAATGTTTTCCCCATCTCTCTCTTTCCCTCTTTTCTCTATTGTCCTCTTTGTGTGCAGCTGGCCTGCTGCTGCGGCTCAGCGGCCTGCTCGTGCTGCTGTAACTGCTGCCCCAAGATCAAACAGTCCACAGGGACACGTGTCATGTACGCCCTCTACTTCCTGCTGGTCACCATCATCTGTGTCATCATGATGTCCCCCACTGTGGAGCAGGAGATTAGAGACCATGTGAGTACATAAATCACACAACAAAGTATCAACAAACATACACATGTACACGCATTTTTCCTTATAGATACATATTTGAAGAGTTTGAATTCTGAAGCGTAATTGGTAAGATGGTGGAGAGGAATAAACAGCACAGAGAGAAGATTGAATCTCTCATCTTTGCTCCATTGCAGCATCATTTTAAATGAAGAGTGAGTGTGGAAAATCTTCCTGCTGTCTCAGTTTGCAGTGATGCAGGTGGAGTGTTGACTTGTGGTGGCGAAAAAAGGATTAGCAGCTGACCTATAGGTGATCCCGAAAATAAGGCAAAGAAATCAGCACGTGGAATAATACCTTGATTATCCTGTCTCACAAATATCCTCCTTTGCTAACTGCTAGGAGACAGTCACCGTGAGGACACTACATACACACTAATACAAATGATTACTCAAAATGTGACAGCTGTTAAATCAGATAATAGCATACTCTTAGTTTTTTTATCTTACAGTTCTATTTTCTTAATTATACCTCTGATTTTCTTGCATACCAAACATCTTACATTTAAAGCAACTGGTGCTTCGTCATTCTGACTGATCTTCTTCATCACTCATGACTCTTCATCAACATTTTCTACATGAGTGAAGTGGTTCTGAAACTCTCAGACCTAAAAGCCCCTTACAGATAAGTGCTCCTTAGCACAGTGATGACAGACTGGTGTTAGTTATGATGAAATCTACTCAGATGATCAGCTCAGGTTGGTCATGGTCGTGATTTCCTTTGTGTTCACTGTAGCGGTGTTGGTAGCAGCGTGTCTGCTGACTTATTGGGGTCATAAAGGAATACTTCACCTACAAAATGACCATTTGCTTATACATTTTTCATGTTGTGTTACCTTGAATTCATGACAAAAACTCCTTTGAAAAACATATTGATTGATTGATTAATTGGTGACCACATTTAACAGCTGCAAAACTATATCAAAAACATCTGTTAACTAACTCTCACACAGCTCATGCAGTACAATCCAAGTCTCATTTATCCAGTAGTATTCTCAGCACTTCCCAAAAACATGCATTTTTGCTGAAAGCTTACTATTTAAAAGTAAACTGAAAATGCTATCTTTAAATCCAGACTTTAAAGTTTTAGCAAAAATGCATGTGTGTCCTGAGCATACGACTTGATAAATATATTTGGATTATGCTGCAAGTGGGAGTTTGTGAAAAGATGTTTTATATAGTTTTGCTGTGGTTAAATGTGGTTCCCAATTAATCAATAAATCAATATGTTCAACAAAGTTTCCTTCACAAATTCAAGGTAACATGGCCTGACTAATTCGTTTACGAATGGTCATTTTGTGGGGGAACTATCCTTTAAGGGCCAGGATGACACACAGTACAGTTAATGGGCGTAGTATTGTTATGATTTGGGCGTCACCAGTTGAACAGGGTGTAGGCCAGTTACTGCTGACAGTAGGGAAATAGAAGTTTCTTAGTGTTTCTTAGTAAGACTATTTAAAAATTCCTGATTTTTCTCTATTGAAATCAGGCATGTTTATCACAGGTATAAACAGGACAAATATTTTGAGTAACTGTCAAATCTTGTAGGGGTCTATGACTGAGAGTATATTATTGTATAATTGATCTCATCCAGGCATCAGAGCAGAACCGTAACTCTGCTGAGGTCCACCTTGCCCAAACAAAGTTAACTTATTCCCAGTGCTCTCTGAGGAGTTAACAAGCTTTCAGCACATGCCGCCCACCACCCACCATTTCAAACAAAATCGTCTTTTCAGTAAGGGTAGGTACATTGATTTTTGGTTGAAGTTCATTTCTGTTTTTGCACAGTAACACATAAGACAATGTGCTCTCTTCTGATTTAAAGAATGGGATTGCCTAGCGACACAACTTTTACGTTGATTATCAAGACAAAATAATCTTCACATTTTCTTGGAAAGAAGTTGTGTATGCCCCGTCTAGCCTTTGTACGTTTAAATAATATTTTAGGTCTGTTCACAGCTCCAAAGTCTTAATTCCGTCGTTGTTTTGCGAATGGCCTAGTTTACTGAATAGAGGAGTGGGGGTCGGCTGAGAAGCTGTAGTAACCAAGCCAACACTAGCTTCAATGCTGTGACCTTTTTTTTTTTTTTTTTTTTGGCCTACCGCTACGTCTATACTCTCTCCCCAGGCTTCACTGTGTAGAAGTTAGCAACTGTACATAAAATGAGGTTTGCTGACATGGAGCAGAGCTGAGAGGGAAAGACAGTGCATTTGTAGGTTACACACTCTCCACACGTTTCTTAAAATTGGATGTTCTCTTGTCAGGTGAGCCAACTTTTGTGTTTGGCTCTGCAGTGTAATAAATAGAATAAAATTTCAGAGAATGTACCGGTGTTACCTTGTCATTGCTAACAGGCAAAATTAAAGATTTATAACATTGCTTCGGGCAAAGCAGCAACCCCACTATTTTATCTGCGGATCCCATGTGTATCTTCACAGTAGTAAGGCCACAGTTGAGGAGGTAGGAGTTCAGGCTGGTAGCTTTTTGTTTTTAACCACCCACCTAGCCTCTGAAGTTAGGAGAAGATACACAGGTGGCCTGCTGCTCTCTCTTTTGATCCCCATGGCTTTCATGTATTTTCTTTCCCCCAAGTTGCCTCTTTGAATCATATAATACAGAATTATTATAAGACTCTTTCTGTGGTTGTTTCTGAGAATTTCCAACTCAGCTGACAGGCCGCTGCTACAATAAAGTTATCCGGGTGTGTCAGACTGAAATACACTGTGATGTACTGTGATACATTGCCGTCTCTTTGTCTGAGTTGATACTGATAGCTTGAGAAATGATGTCCCTGTTTCAGAGTACAGTATTTACAGTGTAGTTGCTGTATCAGCATTCACAAGGCTCAAATGGCTGGGGAGAATACTGTCAGCTGACTGTGTTACTATGGCAATGACTGCAAGCTTCCTCAAATGAAAGCTCTATTTGACAACAGTGATATTTTTCCACCAATCTTCCTCTGCTGTTTTTTTTCCTCCTCCTCCAGTGTCTACTGTACAACACTAAAATGACTCCCCACTGTGCGTCTCCCTGTGAGAGGACAACCCTGTAAAAGGCCCATCCAGGCACAAAATGGCCCCTGATAGCCCCACGCAAAGCCTGCTGAGTTACACACATATACTACATACACATATACACGCACACTGCCAGTCGCACACTGAGCACAGTGGGAAGTCCCGGCTAAGAGAGCAGCCATTGTGCGTATGAGAGTGCTGGTCTTTTCTCAAGAGATTTACAGCTGTCTGAAACAGCCGGCCCCCTTCCCTCTTAATCACGACACCATGGACATGCTAATATGGTCCTCAACATTAGACAAAAGCTCCAAAATGGGCTTTTTACTCTATGTTGTGATCTGGCTCTGGACTGTGCAGCATAGTAAGGTGATGACAACTCAATCCGCTGGCGTCTCTCCCACGTGCTCAACCTCAAGGATCCAAATGCTCTGCCTGTAGCTCGTAAAGCCGACTCAAACCATTTATTATCTGACAGTAAAGATCTGTAGTTCTCTCAAAAATTGACTTCTGTGTGAAAAGCAGCTCTGGCTTTTGACTTTGATTCTCATCTCCACAGTCAGGGGGCATCAGCGAGGGGAACAGATATTTGAGTCTCCGTTCTGTGCTTATCATTTCAAAGGCCGTCTCTTCTGTTGGCACTGAGCCACTGAGGCACTTCCAATTTCCTGTTGAAGGCTGCAGCAAAGTCCTTATCTACTTCACTCTTCTTTTCTAGGCATCTCACTGTAGGTTTAAATACATTTTGGACATTTATTTAAAGATGGATCTCCTGGTCTTTAGCTCTTGCTCGTGCACCCTCTTCTTTTCGCCCTTCCCAATCCCTGTGACTTGCTGACAAAAGGCGGTTAATTTATTCATCTGTGTCTTTTGTTTGTGTACACTGACAGTTAGTTGTAAGGCCCCTCTAACAGCCTGTAGAGAACGAGGGATGAAAGAAGGCTTCATGGACAGAAAGAGGGGTTGTTGTTGCTGCCTGTTCTCTCTTTCTGCTCCTTTAGAGGCGTGACGTTCAGAATAGACGCTATTGGGCCTTTTCACTGAGGCCGCGTACTAGACAAACATGAGCAGAGTTGGGGGGGTTTCAACAGCATAATGATCTAATCAAAGTGTTTTGGGTTTTTGTGATTTTATCAATTAGATCCCCTTCTACAGTGCGTTGTGTGAGCAGATGAATGCAGGGGAGAACTGCAAATCTCTGGTTGGCTACTCTGCAGTATACAAGGTGTGCTTCGGCATGGCCTGCTTCTTCTTCTTCTTCGCTGTCTTCACCATACGAGTCAACAGCAGCACAGGCTGCAGGGCGGCCGTGCACAACGGGTAAGAAGCCTCTGTTCCTCTGTCTTTCTACCTGTCATCCTGGCAGTCATCAAACAGTTTGCATTCATCTATAACAGGGGTCTGCAACCTTTGCCATTAAAAGAGCCATTTTTGACCAAAAATAATTTGAAAAAATCTGTGTGGAGCCTTAAAACATGTTTGAGCCTTATAATCAAGGTAAATAGCCTATTAAGTCTAATTTAGTTTATACTTATGGTTTAAATAATCATTTGTTAATATGTTTTACCACAAGTTGGACACTGTGCAGGGCACTATTTATGATTATTTGGTACTTAAATTTTGCAGAGCTGGCAGTGAGAGCAAACAAATCCGTCCACGCACTACTACATTCTCTATTTTATTCAATTTACTTTTTTGGATTTGGCATCCATAGCTAACCATCCACTGCTATCTAGGTTCTGCAACATTTGGATTCATAGAATGAATTTCCATAGACTTCTTTTCTCAAAGGCTCAAGGAGCCACTGGACAGGGGCTAAAGAGCCACATGTGGCTCTGGAGCCACAGGTTGCCTACTCCTGATCTATAATATCTAGCTGGAACCATAACATTGTGCATTTGTGAGCACAAAAGCAGAAGCCACACAAAATACACACACTTAACTGAAGGTAGGTACGTTACACTCAGGCAGCTTTTCATTAAAGGAATACTTCAACCCCCAAACGATTATTCATTTGTCAGTTACTTCCCCTGTGTTACATTCAGTATGGAAAAGAAAACATTTTTCTTGCATGCCTCCTCAAAACGAAGAATACAAAAAAAGGCAAAATTTCTTGATACAACAACAAAACTATATAAAAACATCAATTTACAAACTCTCACACAACTTGCGCGGTATTATAGTCTTATTTATCAAGTCATATGCTCTACTTCCCAAACAGATGCATTTTTGCTTGAACCACAATATTTAAAAAACGTTTGTATAAACAGAGCAGACGTGCTGCTCCTCTGTGCATGAGACTGTTTATGTGGAGAAGTTTTAAATAGTAAGGGTTTTTTGGAAAATGTAAATGAAACTATGATTATACCGCGCTAGTTGTGTGAGAGTTTGTAAACAGAAGTTTTGATATGATTTTACTGTTGTTAAATACGATTCCCCCTTTGCTTTAACTCTCAGTTTTCTCAGTTTTGGTGTTCTTTGTTCACCCTGGAGGCATGTGAGAAAAACTTCTGCTTCCCAAAATTAATGCAGCTTAGGGAGTAATTGATATACAAGTGATTATTTAGTGGGTAAAGTATTCTTTAATGCAGCCATTCAGTACCTCAGAGTATAAACAGTGTAAAGCACAAGATGCCGTGAGCAAACAGCCTTATCCTGCACTGTGACAAGTGATCCCCAAATAGTTTTCCTGAACATAATTATGACGTAAATGTGGTGGCAGAAGTGAATAAATAAAAAGTGAAAATATCAAGTTGTATTTTGTGTAATTTAATAAAGTGATAGAGCAGAGTAATGAGTCATAACAGTGTCAGTTTATTGTAGCTGAAAGGTCAGAGCTCTGACACTGGAGTGTCATCCATAGGTCTGACAAAGAAGAACAGATTCAGTCACGTAATATAATAAAGACTTTAAACAGCAGGAGAAAAGTGAGGCCTTCAGTTTACTGATAACTCATCATGGGAACAGCTACAAAGCCAGTTTCTCACACACAAATGAAACTCTCTCCAAAGACACAGTTCACTTCAGGTACAACAGAGTCGTACACACAGAAAAGAAGCGGTATATGTGTGTGGTAATGTCCTATAATAAACATAACACCAGATCTTATCCTGCAGCATTTATTCCTGAGTATTATTGGATTCCTTCTTCTATATGTTCTTAATCAACACATGTATCTTACATTGTTCTTCACTAACACTATCAAAGTCACATTGAGGTTGTTCTGTTGGAAGTCATTGTTTTCTGTGTTATTTCCTCCTTGTGTGTTTCATTTTTCTCATGTGCAGCCTTTAATGTTATCACTGCTTTGAATGTCAGGTTCTGGTTGCTGAAGTTTGTTGTTCTGGTGGCGTGCTGCGCTGGAGGCTTCTTCATCCCAAAAGAGGAAACCTTTCTGGAAGGTAAAAACAGGACACTCAATAGTAGATGTGCAGCGCTGTAATCTTTTTATTAAGCTGGCAATTGTAATTTTGTTTTAGGTAATTTAACAATAATGTATCCACTTCATTGGTGGCAAAAAAAGGGGTAGGCACAGGGACAAATAAGAGGAAGCAACAAGTATTGTGAGCTGCATCATTTTCTAAGCTCACTCAGACACACTGCCTTCCATACAAACTTCTAAAGTGACCCTGCCATTTATTCAGTAGTTCAGATGATCACACAGTGTGAAAGTGCAACAGAAATCTGCTGTAAGCTCTCGTCATCTCTAAGACAATATACCTTTGTCTCCCTCTGTTCAATGCCACAGTGTGGCGCTACGTAGGAGCAGCCGGCGGGTTCATTTTCCTGCTCATCCAGCTCATGCTGTTGGTGGAGTTTGCACACAGATGGAACACAAACTGGTGAGAGCAACATGTCTTCTCTCCACTCGTCTCTTTTGTCCCAGTAACTCAAGATTCCGGCTCACTTACGTAAGCACGGACGCCCTGCAAATGGGAGCGGCGCACTGCTTTTTATTTGATCTTGAGAAACTCAGAGGGTGGGACGTATTCTTCTCGGGGGTTATTGGGCTGAAAAAAGTTTGGAAAGAGGGAGTCATGTAGCTCTGTGTATTCGTGGGTGGAGGGGAGGCCTGGCAGCTGGCCGAGCCGGTGCAGATTCACAGGATGCATATGGTTTGACAGTGTGCACTCTCTTTCCCCTTTCCTTCCCACACAGACACACATGCCACAGCAGATAGATTCAAATTTGATTAATGGTTTGGTAACCAGTGTAGTAAAGTTAAATCTGTCCATGTGTATTGTAATGTACATTTGTACTCTCGTTATTTGGTTTTTTAGTACAACCTTGAATTTCCAGACTGAGTAAAATGAATGTGAAAGCTCTTAAGCATACATAAACCTGTCTTCTCGTCTCCTCAGCGTGCAGAAATTACTCACCAAACATTGTTTTCTCTCTCTTTGAATTTTTCTTTAGGGATATTACTCCTGTGTCTGTTTTCTTTGCTTCTTTCCCTGCTCACTTGATTTTTTTGTTCTTCCTAAATTTGCATTATCCCAATTCATGTTGTGTTTTCCCGTTCTGCTGTCTGCTTTCTCTTTCTCCCTCTCCCTCTCCCTCTCCCTCTCTCTCTTTCTGCCTGCAGGAGTTCAGGTGTCACGTATAATCGTCTCTGGTACGCAGCTTTGGCCTTTGTGACTCTGATGCTGTTCAGTATTGCAGTAGGAGCCCTAGTCTTCATGGGCGTGTTCTACACCGACCCCGAGGCCTGTTTATATAACAAGATCTTCCTGGGCATCAATGGCAGCCTGTGTCTCATTGTCTCTCTGTTGGCCATCTCCCCCTGCATTCAGAAATGTGAGAACCCGTACTCACAAACACATGATCTCATTTGACTGTGTAATAGAAATGAAAACTCAAGCATTTGCATTCAGGCGTCTTTTGTAGAAAGCTTCCCGGTTCATCACAAAGAGTCATTTTAGACACAGAAGTATTTTGTAAAATGCATGCACACCAAGTCAGGAATCTGTCAGTATAGCCAGTGATGATTAAATCCTTTATTCATGTTTTTGTCCCTGCAGTGCAGCCCACATCAGGCCTGCTGCAGCCGGGAGTCATCAGTGTGTACGTCATGTACCTCACCTTCTCAGCCTTCTCCAGCAAACCTAAAGAAAGTGAGTATGAACAGATAACCATTATTAGTTACAGCCATTGTTGGGTATGAGGCTAGATCAACAGGTATGATTTATGTTAAGACAAGGGTGAGGCTTAATAATGCCGCAGCAAACCATGTAACCACATGTAAAACATGACAGCTCTGTAGTCAAACTACAAGGCTGACATTCACACAGCTGCTCTTCTTAAAACTCTTGCAGTGACCCACTGTTGCATGTAGGAATAGGAACATAATCAATATAAACAGAAAGGAAAGGAAAAACCTGGGGGGCATTTTGCTGGCATGGTTTAAGTCTGCTTGTCCCCTTAAGCTGCGTTCCCCCCAAATACTTTCAATGTAGTACCCTTAGAACTGGAGCAGAAGCGGTATGGACATGTACCTAAAGCCTAGATCTACTTAGTGTTTCCACCACAGACAGTCCTCTTAAATGCAGGAAGGGTTCCTACAGGACGCTAATAGCTGTGTCACTGCTCCGTATAGCTCTTGCTGTACTTCTTCATGTCTGATGCAGAGAATTTTCTGCACCTTGTTGGTCGTCCATGGAACAGGGTAGCACGCCAACATTTTTAGAACAAGGCTGGAATGTTTACTGTCTCTTTCACAATCGATGGGATATTTAAACATAGCAGGTTTTTGCATTGAGACCTTCTTGAACAAGTGTGAAGATTCTCTCTTGACCAGTCAATGGATTGTAGGGTTTCTAGCTCCACCTTTTAGATACCTCAACAGAGGGGTGACGAAAAAATGGGACATAATGGAACAGTTCTGATAGTACCATCGACAACTTTTGATAACAGAAATGCAAAAAATAACTGTTGGAATGTGTCTCAAACTGGACTGCTTGGTGGAAACATGGCTTTAGAGGGAACTGCAGAACTAACATTGTTCTGATTGATCACCTTTAACCTATGATGAAACATTTCTATCTTGATGGGAGAGGTGTCTCCCAAAATTGAATGGGTTCCTCCTTGGTCCATGCTACACCTTTCCACAAAGTTTCATGAAATTTGAGCAAGTAATCTTTCCATAATCCTTCTGACAAACAAACAGACAATCAAACCAAAAGCAAAAACAAAACCTCCAAGGCACAGGTAGTGATACATACTGACTTGAGAGACAGCTCTGAACAGTCACACGAGAATGCGGACGCCAGAATGCCTTTCTAACGTTACCAGAGGGAAACATTGGTGGTAGATGTGAGCGGCAGATTCAGTTCGCTACACAACATATCTCTCTTATGTAATTCAAGCATCAGAAAGTGTGTTCCTATATTTTTGTGCTTTGAATGACCAGTGCCGTGACGAGCATGGTTTGTTTAGCCTAGCGGCTAGGCTTTACTGCGGCGTCTGTCAGCTGACAGCTCGTGTCAATCAGCTGGAAAGAAGCAAACCATCTCAGCTGGATCCCACCGGTACTCCTGTACAGCTACAATGGTCACAACTCACTGGGACCCCCCAGCTGTTGGTGGGAAGTAAAGTCCAAGGGGAGGAAAAACAAAGGTGAGACCAACTGTGAAGCTTCTACTATGGCCGCCGACGTAGAGACGGAGCTGGTTACTATGGACACTGTCAGGAAACACGTCAACCAGGTGCTCGCACAGCAGAAGGCACATTACACAGAGATGCTGGATAGACAAGCGGACACATTAAATAAGTTTGTTCGCATACTCATGGACTCTACTAATGAGTGTCTGGACTCCATGAATAGAAACATTCAGGAGCTAAAAGACAGCATTCACTATACACAGCAGGAAGTGGATGAGATGAAAGTCAAAACCTCCAAGGTTTTGTGTGATCATAACACCCTTGAAGGTGGAATGCGCACCACCTGTGACACTTTGTTAGCACTGGAAAATAAGGCTGACTACCTTGAAAATCAGTCAAGAAGGAATAATCTCATTTTTGATGGAATCAGGGAATCGGAAGGGGAGAAACCAGCTGATGCAGAGAGGAAAGTCCGCAGCCTGATCTCTGAGAAGTTAAAGCTGGACGCTGGAGCCATGGTCATCGAGAGAGCCCACCGTATGGGGAAGCGGGACCCCACAGGTGACCGTCAGAGGCCCATAGTGGCTAAGTTTTTAAATTTCAAAGACAGAGAGCTAGGAGAAAGGAGCTGAAGAGAACTGCCCCAGGTGTCTACATGAACGAGGACTTCTCTGAGGCAGTGAGACAGAAAAGACGGGAGCTGCTGCCCAAACTGAGAGAAGCTTGGGACAGAGGGGACATTGCATACCTGAAATTTGACCGCTTAGTTGTCCACTTACCAAGGGTAAGGGGGGTTGGTCTCAACCGCAACACCAGTGCTGATCCCTCCCCTGTGACCTCCACCCCGAAATGAAGGTACTGGACTAAGTGATAAATGTCAGTTTAAATTTTATTTTACTTATTTTATTTATTTCATTTTATTTTATTTTTTATTTTTTGTTTTGTTTGATTTGTTTTGACATACATGTCTATTAAAATACCAAAAAAAGGTTTAAAATTTGCTCACTTAAACATCTGCAGTTTGAAAAACAAGGTCAATGAGTTAAGCTCAATATTGCATGACAATGATATCCACATAATGGCCATTTCAGAAACCCATTTGGATAACACAATAGAGGACTCAGTAATTTCTATACTAGGGTACAACTTATTTAGACTGGATAGTAATAGATTTGGAGGTTGTACAGCATTTTTTCTGAAAGAGCACATTCCAGCTAAAATCAGACATGATTTAAGCAGGAATGGTGTGGAGGCCTTATGGCTTCAAATTCACATTCCTTATTGCAAACCAATATTAATATGTTGTTGTTATAGGCCACCATGTTCGAATGCTGATTATTTAGATAATATATGTAATATGCTACAGAATGTAATTGACAAGAACTTTGAAGTCTTTTTTTGTGGGAGATATGAATATCAACTGGTTTAATAGTAATTGTGCATTGAGGAAAAAGCTGAGTGATGCGGCTGCTGTATGTAACCTGTCACAGATCGTAAATATGCCAACAAGAATTAATATTAACAGGCAAGGCTCACTCTCGTCAACTTGCATAGATCATCTCTTTACTAATAACCTGGAGGAATGTTCAAAAGCAGTGTCCGTACCTGTAGGATTCAGTTACCACAACATGATTGCACTAACTATAAAAACAAAGGTACCCAAAGCTGGACCAAAAGTAATACTAAGAAGAAGTTATAGAACATTCTCGGAAAAAAGTTTATAGATGAACTACAAAATGTGAACTGGCACACTGTTCTGGATTGTTTGCACCCAGAGGCCTCATTAGTCACTTTTATGAAATTATTTTCAGCTGTTTGTGATAAACATGCTCCCATTAGGAAGCTATCAGTTAGATCAGTTAAAGCGCCCTGGATTGACAATGAACTAAAAAGCCATATTAAAGAAAGAAACTTACTAAAAAAGTCTGCTATTGAAAATGGAAGCCCAGCGGAATGGCAAGCTTACTGTTTACTGAGGAACAAAATCACTAAAATGAACAAACAGAAGAAAAAACAATGTTATAGATCTAAATTTGCAGAGTGTAAGAATGATAGCAAAAAAATGTGGAGAATACTTAATGATGTTGTAGGTAAGTGTAAAGTAAATAATGCATCTGCATTTATTGAATGTGATGGTGTATTTATAACAAAACCAAAGGATATTGCAAATTATTTCTATGATTATTTTATTAAAAAAGTTGACACAATCAGATCTCATATGTGGCCTGGGCACGGTAAGCTTTCAGATTCCATTATAAAAAAAGAAATTATGTGGGGCAAGTAATGCAGCTTGAGTTTCAGTATGATCAATGAAGAGGAGCTTGAGAAACTTCTTTTATCAATTAAATGTGACAATCCCTGTGGCATTGATAATTTAGATGCCAGATTATTGCAGTTGTCGGCTAGAATAGTGGTGAGGCCAATTTTTCAAATTTTCAATTTGTGTTTCGACGTATGTGTCTTTCCTCAGTTGTGGAAGGGTGCAAAGGTAACTCCACTGTCCAAAAATAATAGAGAGCCTTTATCAGGACCAAACAGCAGACCAATTAGTATTTTGCCTGTCTTAAGCAAAATTATGGAGAAAATCCTTTTTAACCAAATTCAGAAATATTTCGAAGATAATAGCATTAATTCTGAGCACCAACATGCCTACAAAACTGGCTATTCGACCTGCTCAGCCTTAACATCTCTTACTGATGTTTGGTTGAAAAGTATTGATGAGAAATTGATTGTAGGTGCAGTACTGTTAGACTTTAGCGCAGTTTTTGACATCATAGATCATAAGCTATTACTCAGAAAGCTGTCAGCTTATAAGTTCAATGATTCGGCTCTTAAATTATTAAAAAGTTACCTGTCTAACTGACAACAATGTGTGATGTTTAATGGCACCCTCTCAAGCACTGCAACGCTGAATAGTGGGGTTCCACAGGGGAGTAGCCTTGGGCCGCTACTATACTCCATCTTTGTTAATGACATGCCATACGCATTAAAGCGTGCAGGTTCAGTGATTTACGCGGATGACATGACATTGCATGTCTCCGCAGAAAACATTACATCTGTTAATAAGTTACTTCAACATGAATTAATGCTGGTTTCAGAGTGGGTTTTGGAGAATAAGCTAAAACTGAATGTCGTGAAAACTAAGTGTATGGTTATTGGCTCTAATCATGTACTGAGGTCTGAACCCAAACTGTGTCTTTCTATGCAAGGCATTGCTATAGAACAGGTTAAAGAAGCCAAACTATTGGGAGTAACAGTGGATGAAACTTTATCTTGGTCTAGTCATATTAATAATATAGTGTCCAAAATGAGTAGAAACATCTCGAACATTAGAAGATGCACTTATCTGCTGAATGAATCAACTGCCAAACTATTAATTAACTCTTTAGTTCTGTCTCATCTGAACTACTGCCCAACAGTTTGGTCCAGTGCCTCAAAGAAAGATCTTTTTAAACTCCAGCTTACTCAAAACAGAGCAGCACGCCTCGCTCTGCGGTGCTCTATCAGAGACAGTGTTATGAGTATGCACGCAAGGCTCGCATGGATGCTGGTGGAGGAGAGACTGGCTGTTGAATAGTACTATGAAATTATGAAATTATGTTTAACTCTTTTATCATGTTAATACATCTGTGTTGAACTTCATATTACACTTCATGTTACTTCATGTTGCTTCATGATACTCTTCTATAATCATGTTATAACTCTTCTAAAATCATATGACTCTTAAAATCATGTTAGAACTCTTCTATAATCATGTGACTCTTCTATAATCATGTTATAACTCTTCTATAATCATGTTAAATATTTACCTGGAGTGACTGTATGTTATTCCTTTTGATCATGTTAAAACATTTATATTGTATTACTTTATGTAAATTTCTATAATCATGTTAATATATTTAGGATGACTGATGTAATTCTTTGTGTAAATGCTATAATGTTGTAATTGTCTTTGTTTGATCTAATGTGGACCCCAGGAAGAATAGTCTTCATTTCCATGAAGACTAATGGGGATCCAAATAAACAATAAACAATAAATAAACAATAAACTGGTTGAATGTCATGTGGTTAAAATAAACCACTAATAACTGACACAGTGAAACAGACACTTACAGAAAAGGGAAACACCTTTTGCCAGTAACCTAAAAAAAACCCCCATCATTATTTCTGTTGTGTTCTGGTTGAGGACACAGATTTGACTGTCAAGTGTTTAATGTTACAATAACAGAACAAGGTATCGTGCACATCTGCTCTGTGAAAAGTTGTGTTACACTCAAGAGACTGAGAACTTTGAGGAGGTTGTGGTTCTTAAAACAAATCACTGTAGTTTGAGGTACGTCGCCTTCCATACAACGCTCCTGTTTCCATAGTAGCTGTAAAGATAATATTCTATGCTGAGATTACTACTGTAAAGATAACCTTACCATAAATATTTAATATCAGCTCATGCCTTCTGAGTAACACTGAAGTATACTATTTATTGTTATTGAGGCTGTCTGTGCTTTGGTACTTACTGTATGTATGTTGTACTGTTCACAGTCTCCCTTCCCCTCCTCCTCTCAATACTGCCGTGCCAAAACACACACACACGCTCACTGCATCTTTCACAATCTCCCTACTCCTTACAATACCCCCTCTACTTCTTCTTTAGCCTCATCCATCTCTGTCTGCTCTCTCTTTCTGTCTAGTTGTGGAAAGAAATGGTGTGAACACAACCGTGTGTGTGTTTCCCTTCAACTCTGGGACGGAGAGCGACAAGAAGATTGTCACCGCTTTTGGGACTGTCATCCTGTTTGGCTGTGTCCTTTACTCTTGGTAAGACACACACACACACACACACACACACACACACACACACACACACACACTCACACTGCTTTTCCTGTTTCCTAGTCTCAATGTCACAAATACAAGCCAAGTGTCCGTATCTCTTGTCAGTGCTGTATCATTAAATCTAATAAGAAAATAAGAGCTGATAGATTAAGTGAAGGCTACAATCCAAACCCATTAACAGCAGCACTGTTATGAGCAATGTGGAATAAAATAAAAGTGATGTATTTCATGGCAGACTGTAGCGACAGAGACAGGGCAGTTTTGATTGGCTCTGACTCTGGAGAGGCAGTGCATGATTGGCTGTGGCTAAGCAGAGGGTGTGAGGGACAAGAACCATGGCTTTTTGCGTTTGTTCACATGTGTTTCCCATCAAGTGGAGGCATCATGTCTCTTGTGGTCATTCTCTGAAGAGGGAGGAATTAGACTGTGCAGCAGCCTGAAACTGCAAATTAATGGAAAAATGCATAGTGACAGAATTACAACCTTTCTCTCCCCCCATCTATCTCTTTCTCCACCCTCCCTGTAGCTTGACGTCCACCACCAGGCGAAGCTCTGCAGCGCTCCGAGTTTGTAGGAACAGTGAGCCAGAGACTGAGGTAAACGCACAAATATTTAGCCCTCACTAGGTGTGTGTGGTAATGAAATATACACACCAGTTAAACAGATTAACAGGACTTGAAAAACCCACTGACCAGACACTGCCCATTAGATGTCCATATCAAATTAAACAAATTGTACCCAAGAGACATAATGTGTGTGTGTCTATTCCTGTTCAGTGGTAACCTGTGTGTTTTTCTTTGTCCTGTAGAGAGCTCGCTGCTGTTTCTGTTTTGGAGATGACACAGGTGAGGAAAGTCAAATTATTTCTCCCTCCCCCCTCCCTCCTCTCTCCTCTCTCCTCTCTCCTCTCTCCTCTCTGCCTCCCCAGCCTGTTCAGTGTGTATGCATATGTCCCCAGACGTAGTGTTTGCACACAGAGGGGCTATGCTCATTGCTATTCCTCAGCCAGATTGAGGATGGTGAGAAAGTATTGGTCAGCAAACACAGATGATGTCACTGTTACTAGGAGGGTAGTATGACACAGTGAAGCAGGACCAGCAGCTATGTGGGATCGTGGGTAGGCTGACACTGCCCCCTGCTGGAAACAAAATGTATGTGTTGGCAAATATAACAACCAGGAATGTACACACATTTTATAGACTAAATTTACTCAATAACTCAATCATTTGGAAATAAGTTTTAGCTTTGGTCCTAATTGGGAGTTACATAAAATAAAAATTAGTAAGAATGACAGAATGACATTGGACTTAGTTATGTGGCATTTTCTCACATTTAAACTGTCACTCACCCGCCTCCTCCTCTGTGCATCATGTTGTGTGTTTTTCAGATGGCTATGATGAGGAGAAGACTGGAGGAGGCCAGAACGTGGTGTATGATGAAAGAGAGGGAACCGTCTACAGCTACGCCTACTTCCATTTTGTGTTCTTCCTGGGATCCCTCTATGTCATGATGACCGTCACCAACTGGTTCCAGTAAGTGATTCTTTGATTGTGGTGCAATGCTTGGGCATGTATGGGTATGCTTATGTACATGTATCCAGTTACTGTGGATGAGCAGACTGAGGTTACAGTTTGTACAGAGGAAGAGATAGAAATGTCCTTGCTACATTTTTGGGGCTGTCTACACAAAACATCCTCTGACTACAACTAGCTCTTGACTGGGCACGTTAGACAACTTCTAAAAATGAGGGGCATGTCATTCCTAACTTTAAAGATATACCATGCAGGATTGTTGAACATTTAAAAGCAGTTGTTCTGAGGATCTAAGTGGCGTTGTGTGTTAGAGTCAGGGCAGAGAAGTTCTGAAATGTACAGAGGTGCTAGTCTGTGTATGGCTATTAAAAAAAACCTTTGAATTCAATTATGTAACCAGTTTCATAGCATAGTTCAGCTTGTTGCAGGTTCAGTATTTTGGTTCACTCTCATTGTCCTCACTAGTGTTGTTGTCAGCTGGAGAAAAATAACATCAAGAAGCAAGACAAAAGTTAGCATCAAGCTAATTTACACAGTGGAACATTTAGCTGCAGATGAGTCTTGATGTCTTTGCTCACTTCTCTCACTGTGTGCTTCCTTTTGCAGTTTTGATAACCACAGGATCGAGGCGCTGTTAGACGGGAGCTGGTCGGTGTTCTGGATCAAGATGGCCTCCTGCTGGGTCTGTCTCATCCTCTACATGTGGACCCTTGTCGCCCCCATGGTCTGCCCCAAGCGCTTTGAGGCCTAGGACTCCCACCACTACACTAGAGTCGGGCTACTCTGATTCTTTGGATGTGGCCAGGCAGAAGCTCTCACGCTGAGCCAAGGGACCACCCTCCCTCCCCCCTGTCCCCACCTTTACCTGGAAACACAACCCTACACTACCCTCAACGTTCGAAAATGGAGGATTATCTGTTGCCTTTTGTTTTATATGCTAGTGTTTATTTTACGTTGTTTTACAATGTTAAGCTGTTAATACCTTGATGGTAATTTGTTATCTTTTACTACCACTTACTCATGGAGTTTTGTATTGCTTACAGATTTGAAATTACAGAAAGGGATCATGGGGAGTTACATTGTGAAACATTAGACGCATCCGACCTCTGTAGGTTCCTTCATAATTTCAGATTTATAAGTACATTTTTGTAAGTATTTCCTGTGTGTGTCCGTTTTATCTTGGATTCCCGCTTTTACTCAGCCAGGCATTTCAGTCGTGTACAGTTGGACCATAAAGTTGTAGCAAAGTTTCGGGACAAATTTATTTCAGCTTAGAGATGTTACAAGAGATATTGTATTTATTAAAGTGTGTCTTAAGTAATCAGAAATCATTCTGTGAAGGAATGTCGTGTAAATTGAATTAGATTTGTCCCCGACTCTGTTTGGAAACTCATCTCTCAGGCTCACATGTAAGCTGTATATGTTTGTGCTTTGTTATATTGCTCCTTTTTGTAGAAGTTTTCTATGCAACGGAACAAGCTCTTTTTCGATATTACGCCCAGTGTTGTGACGTTTTCACTTAGATTACGAGGATAATGTTTCAGATTTTATTAATGTCAGCGCTCCCTTTGAGCCAAATCTTTTCTTAGGAAAATCCATGTCATCTGTGCAACATTTCCAGCCATTGGTTTGTGTTGTACAGGGCAGTGCTCTTCAAATCAAACTGCCTTACGTAAAAGTGACGCTAGTAGAGTGCCGCCTCTCTGGAAGAGCTGCAGTGACACAGATGAGGAATGTTTGCCAAAGGTAGATGTCAGAAAACAAACTATCAGAACTGTTTAGTCAGTTACAGAAAAAAAAATCTAACTGAGAGCATTATGTATTTGCATGCACACACAGTCACTTAAATCAGCTGTTTTCTGTACAGTTAAAAAGGCTTTTTGCCTCATCTCTGTTCCATGTGTCAGCTCATAACGGTGGTCAGAACAAGGTAGCATGAGTGCTTTTATTAGTGAGTTATTCAACACTGGATGTTGAGTTTACTGCCGAATTACAATTCATACAGAGACCTTTGTTACCTGTGTGACATTTTGGTTGTATTGTTTGAAAATACATTTTCCTGCACATCAGCTGCAAGTTGATTCTCATTCATCAATAAATCAGTATGTTCTGTTGTCTGACTGTTTCTAACATGTTTTGTAATAACTTAAATGCACATTTGGGCTTAGGTTCTGTGATCTGTGGAAGGTTTCATTCATACGCTTTATATACCTGCAAAATCTGTCGTGTTTTTTGGAAATATTTCTGCATTTTAATTGTTGATATGAATGTAGAAATGAAATGGTGCTCTGCAGATTTGATATCAATCTAAAGGAAAAGCCGAAATCAGATAGTAGGACCCACTGTGAAGGTTGTGTACTACAAAAAAATTATAATAATAATATACAGGAGCAGATTTGGACCAAGTAGTATGTTGGAGATACAGAGGCGTGGGTGCCATGCAGTTCATTGTTCATAGTGTTTCAATAAAACATCCATTGAATGCCATGTGGTGTTTTTTTTGTTTCCTTTATACAGATAAATATGTGATATACAAGCATATTTTCTCTTATTTTGGTTCATATCCATGATTTGTTCTTATTCTGTAAGTACCAATTGATTTTTGGGATTCAACAATGTTTTTTATTTTTGCTGGGGTTTTTTTTTTTGTTTGTTTGTTTTTTGTTTTTTTTTTTTAGTGGTCAGAACCACTTTGACCAAGATAAGAAAAGAAAGACATCTTGTTTTCACAATCCAGAAATCTTTTTGTCCAATGCAAGGAAAGTTTCAAATTTGAGGAACATAAGAATGCATGAATATTACTTAATTAAATCTAGATTATTATATGGTTTAGACAGTTGGCAACTATTTTGATAATCAGTTAAGTCATTTTTCATACAAAAACATTTCATGGCTCCAGATTTTTTTTTTAATGGGGACTTGCTGCCTTTCCTTTTATTGAAATGACTACAATTTTTCTGCACTGAGTACATTTACCTTTAAGACTAAAATATAGACTAAAATATATTTTCCAGATTGCACTTATATACTTTTTCTTAAGTAACATTTTCAGTGCAGGACTTGTGCTAGTAAAAGAGTATTTTTACAGTGTAGTGTTTGTACTTAAACTTCAGTAAGGATCTAGATACTTCTTCCTCTGCTCCTGCTGCTGACAGCATTAAAGCACCAGAAATGTTTTCTGGGTTTTTGTTTTTCTTGTAACACCAGTACTGAAGCTCTGGAAAATCACATTTACTTTATTTAAGTTCCTGTAACATTACGTCAGTTTTACTACAGCCAAAGTTCTTCTTATGACTTTTTTTGTTGGTGGCATTTCTCCAGTGTTTAGGGGGCGTTACCTATGCTAATAGATCCTTTATGACAGTGAGATTCATCATTCAGCACACCTGGGTAAGAGCAGATTTGGCTGGATGAGAACATTTAGTGCATCTAGAGGTGACTAATATTTTTTCTTTTAACAGAAAATGAAGAGAAAAGACCAAACAGATCAGTCACAATAAAGAAACAACAGATCTGAAATAATACTTATAAAAATAAAAATAAATAAGCAAACTGTAGACAAAACATTATGGAAACAGCAGTAGTAACAATATAAAATTTTAGCTAATACCTAATATCAGTAACCATGAAATGCAACAATAACCTGGTTGATCCTGCCGGACTCTCCCTGCTGACTTGATCTAGAGTTTTCCAATGATGTCCTGGTACTACTTCGCTGCCAGCAGACGGGGGTACACCTACCCTCACTTTATTATTATTATTGGTATTGGTACTAATACTACTGCGTGTGCCCAGAGGCGGCGTTGTCCACACAAACCTTCGCCCGCTAAGACGTGCCTCGACCAGCATGACTCCTAACGTTACCTTGAGGATGGCCTTGATCAATGCTAGATCCCTAGCTAACAAGACCTTCTTGCTGAATGACTTTTTCACCTCCCGTAAGTTGGATTTTATGTTCGTGATGGAAACCTGGCAGCATACTGGTGAGTCCACACCGTTTTCAGAACTTCTCCCTCCTGACTGTACATTTCTCAGCTCCCCTCGGACCACCGGCAAGGGTGGAGGGCTAGCCTGTGTTTTCAAATCCAGCTTTCACCGTCAGCAGATACCATCTGTCACTTACTCCAGCTTTGAGCTGCAGCTTTTTAAACTGAATTCCTCTCCTCCCTTGCTGTGTGCGGTGGTATATCGTCCACCCAAATACAATAAGAATTTTATTCAGGATTTTGAAAACTTTCTGTCTGGAATTATGGTGGATTTTGATCACTTCTTAATTTCCGGTGACCTGAACGTTCATGTGTGCTGCGAAACCAGTTCTCTGGTCAAAGACTTCTTGTCACTGATCGACTCCTTTAATCTCACACAGTGGGTCTCTGGCCCGACGCATGATAAGGGGCATACACTTGACCTAGTGCTGTCTCATGGTTTGTCTATCTGTGTCAGTGAAATTTGTAATAGTGCTTGTATTTCTGATCACTTTCCTGTTATATTTTCTGCTACTGTCCCCTGCTCTGTTGTCGCTGCTCGTCCACCTGCACGCTGTTTTCGTGCTACAAATTCCAGCACTACGTTGCAATTTTCTACAGCTTTTAATGGTTATATGCATTCTACTGTGGAGGGGTATGGTGCCCTTAGTGCTGAAGAGCTTGTTGCTCTTTTTAACTCCACATGCACTAGCATTTTGGACGCCATCGCTCCCTTAAGCATCAAACGCCCTAAGGCAATTTCTGAACCATGGATAAATGACTCTATACGTGCTCTCAGACGCTCTTGTAGGCGTGCTGAGAGAAGGTGGAAGAAGGACAAGTTGCATGTCTCCGTTGGGATTCTACGGGAGTGCTTATTGGAGTATCAGAAAGCAGTGAAAGCTGCTAAAACCGCTTACATCTCGCACCTTGTCTCAAACAACATTGATAAACCAAAGGTTCTGTTTAATGTTTTAGATTCTCTTGTTAACCCACGTGATACTGCTCCCATTGTTCCAACTCCTGCTCTCTGTAATGATTTCCTCAACTTTTTTGTCGAGAAAATCTCTGCTCTTCATTCTGTACCTTGTCTTGCTGAGCCTGATCCCTCTGACCCTCCCATGTGCCCAGCTGTTTTTGACCAGTTTGAGCCTATATCACTGTCCTCTCTGTCAGATATAGTTCGTGGGATGCGACCCACAAACTGCCTCTCAGACAGTATTCCCTCGCACCTTTTTAAAGAGGTTTTTGATTCAGTTGGATCTTTTATTCTTGTTCTGATTCATAACTGTTTTAGTTCAGGGTGTTTTCCTGCCCCTTTTAAACATGCTATAGTGCAGCCACTCATTAAAAAGCCCAGCCTGGACCCCTCTGTTCTCTCCAACTTCAGGCCCATCTCCAAATTACCCTTCCTGTCCAAAGTGTTAGAGAAAGTAATTGCTGTACAGTTGCAATTATTTTTAGTACAAAATGATATCTATGAGAAGTTTCAATCTGGTTTTAGGTCTGGTCACAGTACTGAAACTGCTCTTTTAAGAGTGTTTAATGATCTTGTCTTAACTGTGGACTCAGGATGTGCCGCTATCCTGGTGACCTTAGATTTGACGGCTGCCTTTGATACTGTTGATCATAGGACCCTCTTATCACGCCTAGATCACTGTGTAGGCATTAAAGGTGCTGCCCTCAAGTTGCTACAGTCGTACCTAACCGACAGGAGTTTCTCTGTCCATCTGGGTGAATTCTCCTCAAATGTGGCCCCTCTTACCTGTGGGGTTCCCCAAGGCTCCATTTTGGGCCCTTTATTGTTTTCTTTATATATGCTGCCCCTAGGTTCCATTCTCCGTAAGCATAATGTTTCTTTTCATTGCTTTGCAGATGATGTCCAAGTGTACCTTCCTTTAAAATTAAAATGTAAGGACTCTCTGCAGCCTCTGTTAGCTTGTCTTAATGACATAAAAACTTGGATGGGCCTAAATTTCCTGAATCTAAATGATAATAAGACTGAGGTTATTGTATTTGGATATCCGGAATGTGTAAATGACTCTGTTGGTGCTCTGGGCCCCTTGGCTTCCAAAAACTGTTCTTTTATTAAAAGCCTTGGTGTCACTTTTGATAGTGCTTTTAAGTTTGACAGGCAAATTGGTTCTGTGGTCAAAGGTGCTTTCTTTCAGCTTCGCCTGCTCGCCAAAGTAAATCCCTATCCCTCCACCAAAGACTTGGAGAGAGTTATCCATGCCTTCATTACGTCTAGGCTTGATTACTGCAACTCTCTGTATGTGGGCTTAGATAAACGTTCTTTGCGGCATCTGCAGCTAGTGCAAAATGCTGCTGCTCGCCTTTTGACCAGCACGAAAAAACGTGACCACATCACACCGGTTCTGGCCTCTTTGCATTGGCTTCCTGTCCGCTGCAGGATTGACTTTAAGATTTTGATGTTTGTTTTTAAGATATTGAATGGTCTGGCACCCCAGTACTTAGCTGAACTCATCCATGTTCACACACCAGCTAGAGCACTGAGGTCATCAAATGAGTTGCTTCTAGATGTCCTGATATCTAGGCTCAAAACTAAAGGCAACCGAGCCTTCGCGGTGGCTGCCCCAAAATTGTGGAACAGCTTACCACTGTATATTAGATCTGCCCAGACTCTTGAGATATTTAAGTCGTTGCTGAAGACCCATCTTTTCTCGTTAGCATTTGACGCATGTTAAGCCGAACATTGCCGATGTATGGACTGTTTTTATCGAATTTTGTGCCTATTGTGCACTTTATTTTGTTTTCTATTGTTACTCTTAATATTTATATGTACTGTGTGCTCTAATACTGTATTTTTCTATTTCTATAGTTGTATTTTAATACTTTAGTGCGTTCTAGATTGTACAGCACTTTGGCAAACCTCGGTTGTTTTAAATGTGCTATATAAATAAATTTGACCTTGACCTTGACCTTACTAATAGGCTAAAAGTAGGATTAGTTTTAATATACATTCCTCCTTTTTTCCCCCTACCTGTCAAACACACACAACAACCAACACAACCTTGTCCCCCTATCCCCTGACAACATTAATTTACTGGCCTGTATTTACTGTTCTTGTTTTGTTAGCGTTTTGTACTGTCTTGAAATAAAAAAGGAAGAAATTTGAGAATGTTGCTGCATGGGTCACAATGATCTCAAATAAAAAAACGACATTGAACTTAGTGGTTTTCTTAAATGCTCTGGATTTTATTGAATTTGCAACATATTCAAAAGGTACTGCATCTTTAACGGTAAAATACTGATAAACTCCCATGTGAGATACTGCATAGACATACACAGAACCTGCTGATGATTTATACAAGAATGCGCTGACTTCAGTTACACACTAAGTATATAATGCCCAATGCGATGCTTTCCAAAGAGCTCCTCACTCCAATGACAAAGTTAAAATACTATCACTAAAAACTGTCCACCATGTTCCCTCTCACATTCATCTTTCTGTCTCTAACTCCTGCCCTCTACCTCTGTTGCAGCTCTGCTCCGTTTATC